GTGTTATTCAAATGTCGTAAACTTTCACTGGAAAACTTTTACCTAATCGGCTTTATTTTCGGGGTTCTTCTTTGGTGGGCCACTCGATTGGACAATGCTTTTCGATGTGGAACTGCCCATACTTTACACGTTATTAGTCTAATTTAATCAAATGAAGGCATTCTCAATAGCCGCATTCATTTTTCATTAATGAATTGGACCCAGATGGAAGCCTCTCGATAAAAAGCCTCTAGCCTGAAAACGGTAGCGTTGATAAATCTAATTTATCCCAGGGAGAAAGCCAGAATCCCCACACGTGTGGAATGCCCAGCAAAGAAATTCCAATCCAAAGTGGTCGTGTCGAATCCCATCAGCTCAAATAGATCTCATCCCGGAGATATTGCACAGTTTTCCATTATGATTTGCCATTCCGGAGATATTGCAGCATTTCCCATTATGATTTGCCATATGCAGCAAAATGGATTTTAGTGGGCGTTTTTGGGTAAACAACCCCTCTCAAATCTCTCTGTCCTGTCAACGCGATTGTAATTTATTCTTTTGCGCATTTGCTTTTATCGGAAATTGGCCAATAAGGTTTTCGGTTGCAGGATATCCTTTCCCTCCCGTAGTCCAAAAATGCATTTCGATTGCCCAAGAAAAAAGGCACACAATGCGGCGAGAGGGTGCGAGGTTTAGCCAACTGTGAATTGAATTTGGCACTCAAACGATTGTTTGTGGATGGGTGCTAATTTGAGATGCGAATACCGGAATAGATACGGATTGCTATTTCTCCAGCCGAGCATGAAATGCCGCAAATTTAGGGTGAGAACTGGCAAACAGGCGAACTGGCCCTGCTTTCCCATCGCGCACATAAGTAGCTGGCTTTTTCTCATCAAAAACGCAATCACCTGCAAATGCTAAATAGATCGGCTTATCGTACCGCCCACGGTTTGATTTATGGCCGTTTATCTTGGCAAGAAGTGCAGGCAGCAGGCGGCACAGCCTCAGGCAAAGATTTATTGCCCGGCCAAATGACAACTCAATAAAGTGCCACTAATTGGGCTTTAATAGACACCGTCTGTTAACTCTTCATTGTCATCTGGTTTTCGGTGGACATACTCCATGTGCAGGGCATCGAGTGGAGCCCCCATTGATTGATTTGCTCTCTTCCAGTTCAAATCAAATTGTCAAAATACGCTGCCCACGATCATAAATTAGGAGGGCCACAAAATAATACAAAAGACAGCGTGGCACAGTAGTGGAATCGAGGGTGGGGTCCGAGTTCGAACAAAGCGGATAATGCCTCGGTTAGATATTCCCAGAGATATTTTTTATGACCATTGATGGCTGGCATACCACATTATGTTAAATAACCACAAAAGTGATCGTAAATTTTCATAAAATGTCACGCCAAAACGTCACACTTTTTTTGTAAGCATAATTAAAAATATAATAAAAGGCAATTCCATACATATATGCATGGATTTTTTTTAATATCTGACTATATCATTTTTTATCCACTTCAAGTTTTATTGAGTGCCTGCACATAAATTTCGACATTACCAAAGCTGTCGTCTGGGGGAAAATTAAGGCCTCATTTGCATAAATCGAGCGTCTGCCCCTTTAACTGTTATCAAAGAGTTCCATCGATCCATCGATGGCCAGGAAAAGAACCCATCCCAGCATAACTCAATCGAGCACCTTCCGAAACTCCGTTTTGACAGGCATATTTTTTGACATTTTAATTATTGTCAGAGCGTGACAACCATTGGAGTCGATTTTATTATTGTGGTTTTCGGGGACTGGATCCTCTTTCCCCGCACTCAAACGACTACGTGCTTAATATGTGGGTAATTTAAAGCAGCTCAGAAGCGTGTCAGGAATTTGGATACATTACCATTTCGACTTCAAACTTTGGGCTTCCCATTTTGGTTCAATGAACTGCAGTCAACGCCTGATTGAACTTCCACACGCCCACTGATTGATCAATAAAAGATCATTTGATTATCAATATGCACTTATTTCACACCTTAAACAATTCCGTATTGTTATTGTTGCGCCTGCAATAACACACATAATAACGAGCTGAGCAAATCGAATAGATTTCAATGAATATTACTGGAGAAAAAATGGATTTGATGGGAAAAAGGTGCAAAATACCATTGTCTTTCATTCTATTAAGTGATTATTTTATGTCTGTATTATGTATTTTGTTCGTAATAACAAATCTATATATGATGTTTAATTTCTAAAATTGGTTTAAAATATGGAAATTAAAATAACCATAATTACATTCATATAATAATTTAAACTATCGCCTCAAAATATCTTAATATAAAAGAAGGAAATAGCCTTTGAAACTATACTTCTTATATTATTAATAAAGCCTACCTTTAGTTTAATTGGATTATGTATAATATATAAGTGCAGAAGACTTAAAAAAATATACGAAATAATAAATAAAATTTAATAAAATAAGGATTATTTAAATATTTATTTTATTTTGACATTAGGATGAATTGAACTAGAATTCATCAGCCATTTCCACTTACTAATGGATAATAATAATATTTAATGCAATAACATTAATAAAAAAAAAAAAATGCTTCCAGAAGCATAGGCCCCGGCGAGATTCGAACTCACGATCTCCTGTTTACTAGACAGGCGCTTTAACCAACTAAGCCACGGCGCCATATGCTGTGCGTGTGGCCAGAGTTCACTGACAACCTGAGAGAGAGCCACCTCTCCGATTATTACTCTTGTGCTCTCGTCTCTTGCGCTCGTTGTTATGTTGTGCTAAAATTAGAGGGAGAGAGAAAGAAAGAAAGAGGGAGAGCGATATACGGCCAGAGGAAACTTTCCCCCAAGAATAAATATAAATTATTCTTTTTAACAATTTAATACGCTAAAAGTTGTCGCTCTTCGGGCGCACACATGCAAAGACATACATAAGTATAACCAAAAAGATAAAAAGAAGAAAAATTACTTTTGTTAACTCGAGCAAAACAAATCGTTTTTTAAACGAGCCTCGAAGAAAAAAAGTCACACCACGGCAAACACGACGCAAGTGAAATGCAACACCACATGGCATTCGAAGTGAAAGGCTGTCTCTGCGCCCCACCCCCTTCCCCGCCCACTTAGACCCTGCCCATTGCCGCTTTGGGTGACCTCTTCGATTTAAACAAATGAACTGACGCGCTTAGCATGTCATTTGTTTAGTTTATATATGTTTTTAGACTTTTCAAAGAGTTGAAGAAGCGAAAAATCCACTAAAATCTACTAAAAGGCAATTGCCAAAGACTCCAGAAAAATGGAATAATTACTTATGCACTTGAACAAATAATTGAAAGATTTTAGGGTCTGTCGGATATTTTTATTTTGAGAAAACACGAATAATAGTACGATAAGGTATTATTAAGTAGACAATTTCAACCTTTAAAGACGTGTTAAATTTCAAATTGTTTTATATAAAAATTTGTATTCATTGGGTTTGGTTTCCAAAAGAACAGATAAAAGTAATCTCATTTAATATATCAATATATAAAAAATGTAATATTATTATTTGTTTTTTTTTTTTTTTTTTGTATTAACAAAATTATAATTTATTCAAGTGCCATTGAAACAAGTATTTTAAAATACAAACCCAAAACGGTTTTGAATTCTTTTTTCAGTGTGTCTGTGGGAATTTTCTGTGGGAGGGAAATAGTAAATCCATCGGGTAAACGGGAACAAAACCGGGAAAAGGAAGGGGACCGTATCGGATAAGCAATGGCATTACAGCCTCTTGTTTTTGTTGTTTCGGTTACACTATTTATGCGTTTTTCCTTTTCGCTGAAACTTTACAATTTCCGTATTTAAAAGGGGATGGGCGATTGATGCCCTGTAAATAAAAACGCATGCCTTTCAAATAGTCCGCAGTTTATAGCCGAAGTTGCAACCGAAGTTGCAGTTGCAATAAAAGTTGCATATACGGGATAAGCATGTGGGCCATAAATTGCCCACCTATTGACAGCTATATTTTATGATATTTTGGCATATGTTTATACGCTGGCATAGTTTTTGGGAGATGAGGTAATTATTCGTATATTGGCTGGGCATTAAAACACCAGCATGCCATAATTTATAAAAGCCTTTTTTAATGACAAGGATTTTAAATCAGCTGTCCTCAAAAGGCACATAAATAATGCATAGTTAAGGTTTTAATTACATGTTCATATCATATCGTAAGGAAATCAATATTTGCCCTCGCTCAAGTGGGCACTCAGCGTTTCCCTTGGATATTTTATTTTCTTCCTGGCGAACTCCATAATCTCTAATAATAATTTTTATTAGGAACAACGATTTCCTTGCCGCAGCAGCTGGCTAAGATTTCAATTTCCAATTGCTCCCGTAACAAGCTGCGTATTTATAAATTGATGTTTATTATGCACGAAGTGCATAAAGTTCATTGAACGAGTGCGCTGCCTCAAAGTGCTGACACACTTTGGCCAGGCAACTGCCAACTGACAAAGAGGCAGGCGGTATTTACAGTCTCCTCCTCGGGACCACACAAGTGGTTTGACCTTAAACGATGCTGAACTTGAATTTGGTGTGGCTGCGGCCTTTATGTTCATTTCTCAAGTGCAAGGCGGCAATTTCAATTAACCCGCCGCGGAACTCGCCATAAATAAGATCCGTCATAATCTCACTCAAGGCATCTTCGATTCAGTACAGTTGACAAATTTGCCCGAGCAATGGAATCTATGATTTAGTGGGTTCCCAGCTGGGTATGCTTACTTTATCGGTTTTTATTTATTTCTTAACCCCAGGCTGAGGGGCGACCAACTCACTCTTCTGGGCTGACGGCTCTCCAGGTGTCGGATATGTAATTAACCACTTTCTGGACGGACTTTTTGGGCTCTCGCCTCGCTCTGACATCCTGACACCTGCGCCCAGATTGTGGGTCAGCCTTTAATCAGGTCTCCTCTTCTGCCACTCTTGATTGATAATTAATTAATGTGCTTTCTCCGTTTCATTTGCAGCGATTCTCCAGCGCTCCACTGTGGATGTGGGACGCATCAAGCTGCAGAGTGTGGCCACTTGCTTGTTTCTCTGCATGGACGCGTGCGGTGTTCCCTACGGCTCGGTAAGTAAGCTTTACATGTTATAGACCGTCTAAAAAAATTGACGAAAATAAAGAAAACATTTATGGAGCTTATCAGCCTAATTGTACACATTCGATAATAAAGTGACCCGCAAAATTGTGTAACATGGCCAACAAATAAGTCCAACCTATATATTTGTATAAGATTTTAGATAGCTTTGTTTTTAGGTGTTTGTACACTGAGGCCCACAAAAAATTTCATTAATAAATAAAATTAAATTTAGTTTTAAATGGTTAAAAAGAAAACCATTTATATATATTATTTGAGATTTTGTTAGATATAAAATAATATAATGGTTTAGTTTTTAGAGTCCATTTATTGATTTTACAAAAATATGTGGTAATAAATAAAGAAATTCGAAATTATATCCAAGTTGTAGATATACATATTATAAGCTATCCTTATCCTTATTTTCAGTATTCCCTGAACCGCGAAATCGATTTCGAATCATAATTTGCCGCTTCTCAGATATCTATATTTTGTATATGGAGCGACCTATCTAGTCCATTGTATTGGCACCCCTCTAACGAAAACAAAAACAAACAAAGGCCTGTTAAGAGATTGAGGTAAACCGAAAATAAACCCAAAGGGACACTCAAATAAATGAAAGAGCGACCGAAGGGCTAAGGGCAATAAATAACAAATTAAATGTGAACAAAAACAAAGCAACACGATCAGCAGCAACAACCCGAATCCTGGGCTGCGTCCCTTTTGCTCCGGAATGTGTCCTTATGCGCGGTCAGGTCGTCAAGTGGTAACTGCCGTCCTTGGGCTTCTTTTCCTTCCCCGTCCCTTAATTTCTCTCAGAAATAAAGGCGACACTTTATCCCGCTGCGTTTCGAAATCCACGATCCTTGGGATGCCTTTTTTGGGCTGGCGCCATGCGACCGCTTCGGCTGCGCTTCATTGGTCCGTCGAACATTTTTTTTTGGTTTAATTTATTTCATTTCTTTCCGCCGTCGCGGGCACTTTGACCTTTCCGCATCCAAAATAGCAGCGAGTGTGCCAATTCTGTCAGCCTAGGCGTGTCTGCAACTGCATTGGTGTTTTCTGTGCGAGCATCTCGCGGATACAACGATACTTGCTGATTGATGCGCTTCACCAGCGTCCACTTTGTAGGCGGCCCTTTGAAGGCGCCGCATACCGCCGACGGGCCTATAGCCCATAACATAGCCGACGTATCTCTAAGTTGGTCAAGTGGGCGGTTATATTGGGCCGCCTTGTTTATTTTGGCGAACAAGGCGTCCGGTGCTCACAGCACGAGATCTCAGATCTGAGAAATGGCTGCGTTCTAAACTTACCCACTAGTTATGGGCCCTGATTTACTGGTACTTTTAATGCTTTTCGTCGGTGCTATTCATAGCACCTCTTGCCTCGTGACTGATTTTCTGACATTTCCCAATAATGCTTAAAATGTTTCCGTCTTGTGACCACCGAGGCAGGTGATTTCGGGCCTCGGCTAATTGAGCAAAGGAAATATAAAATAAATGCCCGAAACGTTTGCCAATTCATAAATTTGAAACCCAAAAACCCTGGTGAGTCAGCGTCTCGGCCAATTAAAATGTCGTAGCCATAAATGTTCACATTACGGTTTTGCTTATTAATTTGCATAATTTGTTCTCCGGCGAGAAATGTGACCGCCCGCAGAGCACACGAATTTGGGTTTGGTCAATTAATGCCGACCCAATGGGGCCCAATGAATATGTTGCATCATTATCATCGTTATTGTCCTGTTCAGGGGCGATAAGTGGTTTCTTAGTATATTTTTCGGTCGTGTTTCCTAAGTGGTTCCGTTTGTAGGTGTTCCCCGTAATCTGGACAACAGGTTGACCCTTTCTACGCTCCTCGCCTGGCGCCACTCGATAAGTTCCGATAGAGAGACCACGCAGCGCTAATGGTTCTGGGTATCGGCAGTGCCCTCTTCCCCGGTGTTTTCCCTTATCCAAGTACAACTTCATTTCCCTTTGGTGTCTGCCAATTTTCACTTGCAAGCCATTAAAGACTATAAATAAACGAAAATGCCTGGAAATACGAATCATAAAAAGAGTTTTAGACTGGGGCGTTGCATCCACATTGTTGTCACATATGTCAAAAAGTTTGTCTCGACTTGACTCGACCCCGAATGGCGTCAACATACTCCACAAATGCTCCTGGCCTTGCCCTCACCCATTTGATGGCTCATTACGGCTCGCCTTTCGCCTGATTAATTTCTAAATTTAAGCGGCGACATTTTCCCGGCTAAACAATCAGGCAGGGAATTGCCTGGCTGCCGTTTTATTTCCGAAACAATTTTAATTGCTTGACAAGCGAATTAATTCAATGTTGTTAATTGAATTTGATCTGCAGATGTCTAGCAGTCGGCGCATTCAAAAGGCCAATGTAACAATCCTTTCGCCGCTCTCAATTTACATTTTCTTTACCTAGCCCACAATTTCTCATCATCTGGCGGTTAATTCTTTGGTCCTTTTGTTCGGCTGTCATGAGGAGTTCATAAAGTAGAAATGTTTATGGTTAGTAGGGCTATCGATGGTCAACGCCGATAGGAGCACATCCTGTGATAATGGGCGCATTTATCCATCTGATTTCTAAGCTGATAGACAAAAGAAACAGACGCCGCCCCTGGGCAACAAATTCAAAAAAAGTTTTTGTTTGTTTCGGAAATTTGGTTCATTATTGGTATTCTGAAGAAGTTGGCTGCTGAAAAAAATGCCTGGTAGATAACCCTTTTAAAAGGCCTAGAAATTTTGTTATCTTGGTATATTCAATGTTTTATTTCACTGAACATGGCTACTGAGGGATAACCATTGCATTGCTTGATTTTGTGAGTGCTAAGTGAAATGATTAAATTTTAGAAATATTTGGAAAATTAAAAGTAGTAACCGGTATTTATTATTATTATAAATCTACCAACTACGCAATCCCGCCGCCATTTGCTTTGCCAAATCATTTAATCATAGCCCTTGATTGTTGCAGAAAGACTTCACCGACGATTGCGTCTTCAACGAAAACATGGGTCTGCAGAACTACAACACGTACTCCTCCACGTACCACTCGCAGGCGCGGCGGGTCTTCTACTTGGCCCTGAACGGAAGTGGCCAGCCCCGGCGCACCCAGATCCCCGCCAGCCGATCGCTGGGCAAGCTCAGCACCTATACGAACGCCATCACGGAGACGGTGCCACAGGAGCGGGTAGAGCAGCTGATCGCCAAGAATTTTGGGGCCAATCGCGTTAAGCACGGCGTGCGGCAACTCTGTGATACGGGCAAGCCGCTGATCGAACTGATCGATGTGGCCAAGTTTAAGGGTCCGCCGCATTGCAGCAGCAACACGAGTGGCAGTAGCAGTAGTAAAAGTAGTAGCAGTAGCAGTTACGTTCCTGTGTCTGCGATCAGCAGCCTGAGTAGTATTAGTAACAGTAGTCAAAGCGAGAGCGGCCATATTAGCAGTAGCAGTAACAGTAATCTTAGCAGTAGTAGCAGTAGCAGTAGCAGTATCAGTAACGGTAATAGTAGTGGCAGTAACAGTAGTAGTGGTAGCAGTACTAACAAGGCAAATAAGAAGAAAAAGCACCGATGCAGGCAGCACGAGCAGGAGGACACCCACAATTGCCAAAAGCGCGCAGGGGCGGGTGCCCTGCGAAAGCTTGGGCCCAAGGCGCAAAGGTGCAAGGAGCTGCGCGAAAAGGCGGCAGCCGAAAAGCGAGCCCCACCCAATTGTGGCAAGAAAAATGGGGCGAGGAAAACGCAAGAGGCGGCCAAAGGTGTGCAGCAGCGTGCCAAGGCCAATATCCAGCAGGGTGGCAAGAAAAAGCTCAATAAGTCGGGAAAACAGCGGCAAAATGGGGGCAAAAAGCAGCAACATCAGCAACATCAGCAACAGCAGCATCAACAGCAGCAACATCAGGCCAAGGCTGTTTCCGGTGGCAAGCGGAAGCACCGGAAAATGGATCCGAGTTTCAGCACCAGCACCAGCACCAGCACCATGGCTACCAGCCTGGCCACGCCCCCAGCAAGCCACTGGGAGAGCAGCTCGCCCCTGCCCGCCTTCGCGCTCAGCGAAACCAGCGATCGGGTGGAGCGTAATGTGCGCACAAACAGCGGCGAGGAGGAGCCGGATCAGAACCAGGATCAGGAGCAGGCTGATCCGACGGAGCAGGGCGAGGAGGAGGGTGACAACGACGGGGGATCCCTTGAGGATGCCAGCTACGAGGACGCCAGCTCCGAAGCTCAAGGACGCAGTGCAGCAGCAGCCGGCGATGACTCGCTCTATTACGATTTGTGAGTTTCCCATAAGCAATTTCCAAGCTAACTCCTCATCTATTTCTCACAAACAAAAACGATAACTAAGTAGAGATTTTTCTAAATTATTTCTACAATTATACAAATAACTTGTTCCCAATTGGCAATAACTTTTTAATATACTTTATGGATTGGAAGTTGAATATTTCTAAATTTTTTAAAATTAATTAAATAATTACCCTTTGGCATTAACATCGATTGGAGTTTTCTGTAACTTACAATATTTCTAGAACTTAAAAGTATTTTCCAAATTTATTTCGCACATTTTGTTCTTTTTGGTTTTTTATTATTTGGTTGCTGTATTTTATTTTTCTATTTTTCAAAATTTTACTTTGGGCTGACAAACAAAATCAAAACGTTCAAAATGTGGAAAATGCAGTTGAAAGAAAAGAGGAAAGTTAAGGGAGAACCGAAAGTTTCTGTAAAAAGTCTGGCCTGAGTATGCAAAAGATATTGTAAATGCAAGTTTCCAAAACACATACACACACACGATCAGATACCAACAGACACATCATTACACCGCACATCCAGCACATCAATATCATATATATACTATATCATCCGCCAGTGTGTACATATTTGATATAACACCAATATACGCAATTCGACCGTGGCTCACTAAAGTATTTTTGATGCAGCGGACGTTTGTCCCCCCGGCGATGATCCAGGTCAATGCCAGCCCCACTAAAGACGATGAATATCAAGTGTATTACGACGGAGTCTCGAGTATTTTATAAGAACCTCTCAAGCCAACAATTTGGAGTACAATTACCATCGAAATGTATAATAATCGCACGCCCATCCAATTAAATATATCCTAAATCGAAGCCATTTCCTTACGCAACACGAATGACAAAAAGAGTCTATTGAAATACTTGAGTCTCTGTGGCGGAACTTTTACGTTCGGTTGACGATGAAAATACTCAAAAATACGATCATACCGATAAGTCTACAAGAAACGAAAAAACTTGCAAAGCGCTTTCCCAATATTGTAAACGAGTGAAGCGATGAAATGAAATTCGAATGTGTCGAAGAACACCATTTGTACATAGATACGCGGTTTAGTCGTAAGATACGTTTTTTTTTGTCTCTGTATTGTCGAACCTCGCTGTCTCTCAGTGCGTAGCCTAAGTTCTGTAAATCACTTTTGAATGCGAATTTTCCCACGGTGAAAATCAATGTTTACCCTTGGAAAATCCGTATTCGAAAGATTGTATTTTATTTAACAACTACTTACGAAACTAACATGTAATATTAATTTATTTGATCAGCGAGAGATAAGCGTGAAATTATAGTCTGTAGCTTGAGTTATTTATTTATTTCAAAATATTTATTTATAAACTACTGTTAAGATTAATAGGCACTAGACTTACAAAACTATGTTATAAAATAAGGCATTAAACAAACATTTTCCAAATAAGTGAGTAAATGATCAACGAAAAAGCATGAGAAAAACGCGAAAAAAACTAAACTAAAAAAAAATAAAATTAAAAATACATTAATATCAAATTGAGAGAGTGTTTTAGTCAATATGGTAAGAGGAGTAGTCCTTGTCAAACTGGGCTTTCTGCATGGGTTTCAATTATTTTTAGCATTTTGCACGTTGCCCGCGTTAAATCGAATAAATTTACAAAATTGTCACAATTCACTCATTTAATATTTGGCATGGTTTTCTGTAATGCAGTTGCTACATTTCGTCTCTATAAGTTTGCACCCCGAAACTGCCCCTATAATGTTCTGTGCCATTTACAGCCTGTGCCTGCAGCTAATCGTCCTGGCTTTACTCCAGAGTCCTCGAATCATCCAGTGAGGGTATCCTTCGATCTGTCGCCGAAAACCATTGGACCTCCGATCCACACAACAAAGTTAAAGTTCCTGATCTTAAAAGCATAAGAGTTCTAACTTTAAAACTACAAATAGCATCTAATATTTGCGTATTTATCGTTTAAGACTGAAGCACAAGCGAAGAACTACGCTAAAACTACTGTAAATAAATTAAAATATTCTATAAAGCTAATTTAGCAATGTGTAATCTTTATTGATTTATTGTCTTTCCGAACCACTTGGGGAATATTTCATTATGCTGATTTAATCCCTCTGTCATCATTATAAGACACATTGATTACGCTGCGAACAGGTGAGCAGATAGAGCTTATTGCTCTGGGAGAGCAGATAGCACCTCTCATAATATGCTGATATCAGCTGGCTACAGTCAAAGACCTTTCTAGAGGTGCCAGCACGTGCTGAAAACGTATCGATCATGTGGTCGCGAGAGAAATCGCAGATCGGAGAGCTTCAGCTATTAGAAAATTACAGTCAAACGTCCGTAAATCATAGTTAAACGAGTAAAAGTTTTTGTAGAACTTGAACAAAATTAACTGGTTCAGTTGGCACTCCGCAAAGAAAGCATTTTTATCCATTGACTTAAGTACAAATTAAAACTAATTGAAATTATTGTTACACCTATACTCCAATTTAAAGTCTGTTGCAGTTGCAGTAGCTTCCCAACTTCCCAATATAAAATCTGTAAATTCCAGTTTCAGTTGCTCCCCTGTAAATGGATAATAGAACAAAGTAAAGCTAACTGCGCTCGGATTACGGCGAAAAGACCCAGACTCTGTACCCCTGTCCGCCCGTCGGAACCGCAATATTAGCAGTACCCAGTTCAAATCGTTCCGATTTTCCTGTGTGAGACAAGTCACGTAGGCCTTGAAATGGCGAAATTGCTGCTTGCGGTCGCTCATATTCCCGCATTCGCGTTCATTCAAACGCTGCTGAATTTTCGCATGAATAGGCGAAACACGAGGCATGGCCAGCCCCCACAGCAGCCAAAATATAATAAAAAATAAAAAAAATGGGGAAAATGAAAAGAACACCGCGCTCCCACCCGAAACCGATCTGAAAAGTAAAGAGACCGACCGGAGACCCGGACAAGCCAAGAAGCCGAATCCGAATCCGAACCCGAGAATCCAAGTTCTCTTGGCAACCTACATGAAATGGAAGCAAAGCCCCCCATTTGAAAAGCTGGCGTAAGCATAAAAGAGCGGGTGACGATCGTTTGTCGCACGCTCTCCACTCGCATTTCCGGGGCTTATCAGCTGCTCCGGCGATGATCACCATTATCATATGGCTGCCACGCCCCTCTTGGCCCCCTTCGCCCGCCCACAGACACACCGGCTATAACCTGCTATCAAAGTCAGCTGTCTGAGAGCGTTAATTGGCGGTCGTCGGTCGTTGGTCGTTGGTCGGCTGATTAGAAGAGTTCAATTGTGAGAAGCTAGCGAACTAGCCGACGCTTACGTATAAAAAATACTCAGACGGGGAGCTTTGCCAGCACGCTGTTCCTATTTACCTTTTGGATTTGCCGTCATCAGCTTGTGACCGCCATAATTTCTATTTGGAATATGCCCCCAACACATAGATTGCTTTGTTTTTCAAGGGTTTTCCAACCTAAACACCCGTCGATAACCATTTAAAGGTATTTTTTAACGACTTAAGTTGATAAATCTTTTTAAAAATGTCACCTAAGACATTTTCACTTTTTCAGTTTAATCTTGATTACATTTTTGTTGGAAATAGAACACAAAAAAAAATAAATAAGACAGTCAGGTATTTCAGTTTTTGTCAGATTTTGTTTTTAAACATTTACTGTATTTAAGATATAATTTTAGATTAACTAAAGTTCCTTCTAAGGGATTGGCAAAGAAAGATTAATTTCTGGTTTTGCTTTTATTATAATATTTTTCGATGATATTTGCACAAATATCACAGCCAATGACAATTCATTTCGGCAGGTTGCAGTTAAACTTTTACGATTTTGAGGTCTACGTGACTCATGGAGAATACACCCGTTGCTTAAATGCTGACTCACAGCGATCCAATTTAGTGTGGGCATGCCCCAAACAGCTCCACTGTCCAATCAACTGCACCTGCTCAATGCCAATGCCAAGGCCATTGCCATTGCCAAAGCCGGTGCCAATTTGGGTACAGCGAATTGGAGTGGCAGATTAGATAGTTTTATTAATGAACACCCACACGAAAAAGGCTGTATAATTTGCTGACGTGACATCCTACAATTGTTCACTATCATCTTGTGTGGGATGTAGGCAAGGAAATTCAAACTAAGTCAGTAATCATCAACATATGGGATAGAAATTTGAGATGGTTAAGGGACAGTTTTGGAAACTTCAACTCAATCAGCCTTTTTATTATTATTATTTATAATAATATTTAAAGGAGCTTGGCGGCGCAAGGTCGAAAACTACTTGATTACTTCAAAAATAACATTTTATTTGAAATTATAAAAAGGTAATTAATAATGAGATTAAGTTATTGGACATTAATATTTTTTTAAATTATTGGACTTATAACACTAGTTCACAAAACATGAGCAATTACCAGACACCCACAAAGACGAATTTAAATTAAAAATCTGCCTATTAACAGACTACATGGTGACTTTTGGGGAATGAGATTGAAGAGTAATGTGCGGAGAAACGCATTCCTGTGTTAATTTCAATTAAACAGATTTCAATCATCCGGACATGACGGAAATGTCAGAATCTTCGCCATACCCGTTGGTCTCCCAGCCACCCTCTGCAGAGGCCGGTTTAGTTGCATTTCTAGTTCATGGCCTGCATTGCGTGAATATGATGAGTCCGCTTAATTGGATTAGCTGCGATGTCTGCCGGGAAGTGGAAACGGAGACGAGACGGCTAAAGAGCCAAAGTCACTGAGCGATTGCATAACGAGCCGGTTCGGCCAGTCGCTTGGAAAAGCGTGTGAAATGGAGTTGTAACCGGCATGGTATTCTATTTACTAAATAATTGGACACAAATGTCGCCGATGATGGGAGAGCATGTCCATCAAACTGCCAAGTGGCTTATGCAAATGATTCTCATGCTAAAAAAATAAATAAAATACTAGTGAAAAAAAAGATCAACTTTGGAGATGCGGGGCATCGATCCCCGTACCTCTCACATGCTAAGCGAGCGCTCTACCATCTGAGCTACATCCCCTAATGAAAAGTGTTGGTCGTTGTTCCCACGTGAATGCTTTAGCCGCTTTTCATAGTGGTGTATGAGCCCTTTATGTGTATGCTGAAAAAGCTTTATGCATGAGCTTTTTAGTTATAAATATAAATGTTAACATATAATAATAATTATTAAATTTAAAATTTAAAATATTTGTAGACCAAAAAAGAAATGTAAAAATATTTAAGTGGAAAAAAAACAAAAGTAAAACGAACTGTAAAATTGTTCCCGCCCGGGTTCGAACCGGGGACCTTGTGCGTGTGAAGCACACGTGATAACCACTACACTACGGAAACCTACGTCACAAGCTAGTCTAAAACACAAACAGAAGCCAAAGTTGACATAGCCGCTTTTGAGCAATCAAACAAAAAAAAAACTTAATACAAGTTATAAATAAATACACATTGCTGTGTGAATGCTGAAATATCGAAAGTAAAAGCTAAACTAAGACCTTATTTGTAGGCCCCCCTCTTAGTTTCTTTGCCAAGTTCAAAGCAATGATAATGATGCACGCTCTATCAACGAGACACATAAAACTCCCCAGGATGCAACATATTTAGGCCGTAGCAGCACTTTCTTTAATGGGACTCTGTCTTGTTTCCACCCAACCTTTCGCCTTGGGTGGCTTTCGGTGAGAGCTGTAACAAATTAAAGCCATAAAAATGTCCGGGAATCCAGAGTCATACCCGGGATGCTGACATTGCAGGCGAGTCGTAAAAAAGTTGATATTCGGTGCGTGCTGAGGGTCGGCGTGTTTATAAATACAACACACCTGAAATGATCGTAAAACCAGCCATATTAAAACGATATAAAAATTATTGTGGCTGAGAGAAAATGAATTGATTAATCTTTAGTTTCACAACGGAAGCGGGCAGGTGGGTTTGAGGTCAGTTGACAGATTGTAAACAAATAGCACGCAAGAAAAATAAAAAAAGAGTTATTCGACTTGTTCCCGCCCGGGTTCGAACCGGGGACCTTGTGCGTGTGAAGCACACGTGATAACCGCTACACTACGGAAACAACTGAAGATCTAGCGGTAAAAAAAACAACTTAGGCTTAGCTGCTAGCCATCGATAAGGAATTCAGTCCCAACGTTTTCGAACCAATATATCAACGCCCGATTTGCATAATTTTTATGCGGGGAAATGCTAGAATTTGTCAACAGAAACCCTGATTAATGGTCATTGCGATAAGCGAGTAAAAGTGTTTTAAATACGCTGGCGGCTATAATTTCTTCCATCTTGGTGTCTAAACTTAAACACGTTGGGAATTAGATGGGGCATTAGCGAGTTTCCCTTTTTCGATATGAACTATCAACTGTGCTGGGGCAAGGTACCCTCTGAAAAAGGAAAACTCTTATATCATATACTCGGGCGGTGCGTGCGGCGGCCCTATAAATAAGTATGCAAAAGCAATTAGGTGGCTTCTTGCCAAAATTGATTGCAAATTGTGCCGGGAGGATGCGGCAATGGCTCTAGCAGGGGCTCTGCGACTGATAAGGACAATCGGTCGGATGCGGATTCTAAGTGGAATGGACACCCGCAATGGCCGGGCAAAACGGGTTCAACTGGCCAATGGCGATACAAGTGACAAGTGAACATGGAAAACTAATTTATGTGGCGCATGCGACAGGAAATGCAAGCGGCGCGACTCCCCCCACTCCACTCGATTCGAGTCGATGAATCGGAATGCAATATGAAATGTG